CAAGCGCTACTTCGTCACGTTCATCGACGACAAGTCGCACTTCTGCGTGGTGTACCTGCTACGGAACAAGTCGGAGGTGGCTGCCAAGTTCGCTGCGTTCGTCGCGTTGGCTGAGACGCAGACCGGCAAGCGAGTGAAGGTGCTTCGGAGCGACAACGGCGGCGAGTACACTTCGGGTGCGATGGCCAAGTTGTGTGCGGATCGCGGCATCGAGCAGAAGTTCACGCCACCATACACGCCTCAGCTCAACGGAGTGGCCGAGCGAATGAATCGGACGCTGGTGGAGTGTGCGCGCTGCATGCTGGAGCACGCCGGGTTGTCGAAGGAGTACTGGGGAGAAGCGGTGATGACGGCCACGTTCCTCCGCAACCGGTGTCCGACGCGCGCCATCAGTCACGACAAGTCGCCGCACCACGTTTGGACCGGCAAGAAGCCTTTGCTGGCCAACCTCAAGGTGTTCGGGTGCCACGCGTACGTGCACGTGCCGAAGGAGAAGCGGTCGAAGTTCGACGCTCGGTCGGTGCGCTGTCGTTTCCTCGGGTACTCGGAGCACGAGAAGGCGTATCGGTTCGAGGAGATCGAGAGCGGTCGCGTGTTGGTGAGCCGCGACGCGCAGTTCATGGAGGATGTCTTCGACGGTGGGAGACGCGACTACGCTTCGAAGGAGGTGTTGGTGGGTCTTCCGACAGATGATGATGAAGACACCACGGATGAAGAGACTCAGTCCGGATCAGACGAGAACAGAGAAGAAGCTGCGCGGAATCAAGACTTTGAACCCGGCAGCAAGCGACACCCGCGCACGCAGTCGCTCGAGGAAGCCGTGGAGGTTCCGAGTGCCAAGCGGTATGCGGTGCCGAGACGACAGCAGCCGCTGGACGAGATGTCTGCCGCAGCACAAGAGAAGGAAGACTTCGAGGCTGCGTACGTCGTGGATTCAGTGGGAGAGATGCCGACAACGTTCAAGTCGGCGATGGAATCCAGCGACGCAGACAAGTGGAAAGAGGCGTGCGACTCGGAGGTGGAGTCGCTCCGCAAGAACGAGACGTGGACCCTGGTGCCACTGCCGAAGGGACGCAAGGCGATCGGCTGCAGATGGGTGTTCCGCGTGAAGGAGAACCAGTCTGGAGAGATCGAGCGGTTCAAGGCGCGACTGGTGGCGAAGGGGTTCTCGCAGAAGTACGGCATCGACTACGACGAGACGTTCGCGCCGGTGGCCAAGTTCACGTCGATTCGGGTGTTGCTGAGTCTGGCGGCCAAGTACAAGCTCACAGTGCACCAGATGGATGTGAAGACCGCGTTCCTCAACGGCTTGTTGGACGAGGACATCTACATGGCGCAGCCGGACGGATATGTGGACGGAGATCGACCCGACTACGTGTGCCGGCTCAAGCGTTCGCTGTACGGCCTGAAGCAGTCGCCGCGGATGTGGAACAAGACGATCGACGAGTTCATGTTGAAGCTGGGGTTCAAGAAGTGCGAGTCCGACCACTGCATCTACTTGAAGCGGGACAATCACGACATGATGTTCGTGGCACTGTACGTGGACGATCTGGTCCTCGCCAGCAGCAGCGACAGGATGCTGAAGGACACGAAGCAGGCGCTGAGTGACCGGTTCGAGATGACCGACATGGGCCAGCTCAAGTACTTTCTCGGTATGGAGATCGAGCAAGATGTGGCGACTGGGAAGGTGTCGGTGCGGCAGACCAAGTTCGCGAAGGACATTCTCGAGAAGTTCAAGATGGATGAGAGCAACCCTGTGAAGACACCGCAGGATCCGGGTCTGAAGCTGACCAAGGCCATGTGCGAGGGAGGCTGCAAGCACGACGAGACCATGGCGAATGTTCCGTACCGGAACGCCGTGGGCTGCCTCATGTATCTCATGGTGGGGACTCGTCCGGACCTCGCAGCGGCAGTGGGAGTGCTGAGCCAGTTCGCAGCGGACCCATGTCCGACACACTGGCAGGCGCTCAAGAGGGTCTTCCGCTACATCCGAGGCACGAAGACGCACGGCCTCGTGTTTCAAGCGAGCAGCGAGGACGGACTGCAAGGCTACTCGGACGCGGACTGGGCCGGCGACATCGAGTCTCGACGGAGTACGAGCGGCTACGCGTTCATGATGAACGGCGGATGCATCAGCTGGCGAAGCAAGAAGCAGCGCACGGTGGCGCTCTCGTCGACGGAAGCCGAGTACATGGCGCTGTCGGAGGCCACGCAGGAGGCGGTGTGGCTCAAGGTGTTTCTGTGCGAGCTGGGCGAGATGGCGAGCGATGAAGCGGTGAAGATCTACGAGGACAACCAAGGCTCCATCGCGTTGGCCAAGAACCCGGAGTTCCACAAGCGCACCAAGCACATCGACATTCGCTACCACTTCGTGCGCGAGAAGGTGGAAGACGGTCAAGTGGTGTTGCAGTATGTTTCGACACTCGACATGCTGGCGGACATCATGACGAAGCCGATCGCGGCGCCGCAGTTCGACGCGCTCAGAACGAAGCTGGGCATCGTGGTCGCTGACGAGTCGAGTGGGAGTGTTGTCAAGACTGATGTGACGACGCCTCGCCAAGCGACCGTGTGACGCGAACGCGTCATCAGTGAGGTCGGCGTGACCTTCACTGTGTGGTACCGAAATCATTCAGGTGATTACGGGACGATGATTACGTCACGGTGATTACGCCAAGATTGTGGGTACAAGATGGGCATCGACGTGGCGTTCTCTGATTGGATAAGGTAACTGTGTATCCAGTAGAGAATCCAGTAGGGTGTATCCAGTAAGAGGTATCCAGTAGCAGGCTTAGAGGTAGCACGCGGTTGCGAACTAAGGACCTGAATCGAATCACTTTGCATTTTGCCAACTACTGCTCAAGTGTTCTTCCTTTTCCGACAACGTTCAAGTCGGCGATGGAATCCAGCGACGCAGACAAGTGGAAAGAGGCGTGCGACTCGGAGGTGGAGTCGCTCCGCAAGAACGAGACGTGGACCCTGGTGCCACTGCCGAAGGGACGCAAGGCGATCGGCTGCAGATGGGTGTTCCGCGTGAAGGAGAACCAGTCTGGAGAGATCGAGCGGTTCAAGGCGCGACTGGTGGCGAAGGGGTTCTCGCAGAAGTACGGCATCGACTACGACGAGACGTTCGCGCCGGTGGCCAAGTTCACGTCGATTCGGGTGTTGCTGAGTCTGGCGGCCAAGTACAAGCTCACAGTGCACCAGATGGATGTGAAGACCGCGTTCCTCAACGGCTTGTTGGACGAGGACATCTACATGGCGCAGCCGGACGGATATGTGGACGGAGATCGACCCGACTACGTGTGCCGGCTCAAGCGTTCGCTGTACGGCCTGAAGCAGTCGCCGCGGATGTGGAACAAGACGATCGACGAGTTCATGTTGAAGCTGGGGTTCAAGAAGTGCGAGTCCGACCACTGCATCTACTTGAAGCGGGACAATCACGACATGATGTTCGTGGCACTGTACGTGGACGATCTGGTCCTCGCCAGCAGCAGCGACGGGATGCTGAAGGACACGAAGCAGGCGCTGAGTGACCGGTTCGAGATGACTGACATGGGCCAGCTCAAGTACTTCCTCGGTATGGAGATCGAGCAAGATGTGGCGACTGGGAAGGTGTCGGTGCGGCAGACCAAGTTCGCGAAGGACATTCTCGAGAAGTTCAAGATGGATGAGAGCAACCCTGTGAAGACACCGCAGGATCCGGGTCTGAAGCTGACCAAGGCCATGTGCGAGGGAGGCTGCAAGCACGACGAGACCATGGCGAATGTTCCGTACCGGAACGCCGTGGGCTGCCTCATGTATCTCATGGTGGGGACTCGTCCGGACCTCGCAGCGGCAGTGGGAGTGCTGAGCCAGTTCGCAGCGGACCCATGTCCGACACACTGGCAGGCGCTCAAGAGGGTCTTCCGCTACATCCGAGGCACGAAGACGCACGGCCTCGTGTTTCAAGCGAGCAGCGAGGACGGACTGCAAGGCTACTCGGACGCGGACTGGGCCGGCGACATCGAGTCTCGACGGAGTACGAGTGGCTACGCGTTCATGATGAACGGCGGATGCATCAGCTGGCGAAGCAAGAAGCAGCGCACGGTGGCGCTCTCGTCGACGGAAGCCGAGTACATGGCGCTGTCGGAGGCCACGCAGGAGGCGGTGTGGCTCAAGGTGTTTCTGTGCGAGCTGGGCGAGATGGCGAGCGATGAAGGGGTGAAGATCTACGAGGACAACCAAGGCTCCATCGCGTTGGCCAAGAACCCGGAGTTCCACAAGCGCACCAAGCACATCGACATTCGCTACCACTTCGTGCGCGAGAAGGTGGAAGACGGTCAAGTGGTGTTGCAGTATGTTTCGACACTCGACATGCTGGCGGACATCATGACGAAGCCGATCGCGGCGCCGCAGTTCGACGCGCTCAGGACGAAGCTGGGCATCGTGGTCGCTGACGAGTCGAGTGGGAGTGTTGTCAAGACTGATGTGACGACGCCCCGCCAAGCGACCGTGTGACGCGAACGCGTCATCAGTGAGGTCGGCGTGACCTTCACTGTGTGGTACCGAAATCATTCAGGTGATTACGGGACGATGATTACGTCACGGTGATTACGCCAAGATTGTGGGTACAAGATGGGCATCGACGTGGCGTTCTCTGATTGGATAAGGTAACTGTGTATCCAGTAGAGAATCCAGTAGGGTGTATCCAGTAAGAGGTATCCAGTAGCAGGCTTAGAGGTAGCACGCGGTTGCGAACTAAGGACCTGAATCGAATCACTTTGCATTTTGCCAACTACTGCTCAAGTGCTCTTCCTTTTTGCCTTCATCTCGGGGGATCCCTAAGCCGGGTGGCTACGACGAGATGGCTTAGCCTCAGCAACGCCGATACCAGTGAATCGCTTCAAAGCGCCTCGGGCAACACCTACGAGAGCCGGATCTTTGCCCTGGGTCGCTACATACGCCGATCCCATGCTGACGAGTCCATCCTCGGCGGCCGATAGCGCAGGCTTGATTATAGGCTTCCAGGCGCTCTTCAAGCCGTTCCACATCTTGCTCCAAATGCTTCCAGCTTGCATACTACCACCATTTACCTCCATGGGGTATTCGATCTCGTGCTTGGTGATCTTGACGCGAGAGCCGTTGTCGGCCTTCTTAGCGCGCATGACCTTGTCATAGGATTCAGGATGCAGATGCAGCGTCGCGCCAGAGCCGGCTAGATCAGCCTTAGTCAGCGATAGGTTGCCAGTCTTGACTGCATTGCGAAGACACTTCTCAGGGATAGAGCTCGAAACGGACAGTTCCTTGTACATGATTATGAGTATATTAGTCAGAGAGTTAAAAAAATCAGAAATTAAATATCTACAACGTCAATATCCAAACCCTCAAACCTATATATTGAGGGTTGCTGGTCTTGGGTACTGTGTACCAGTTGTACCCATTAACCGGTTAACCCGAACCGGTCCAATCCGAACCCACGTTGATTATGGTGATTACGGTAAGTTGTTTACGCCACCGATGATTAGACGAGTAGGATGATTGGATGAACACCGGTGAGTGATGGTTGATTAGATGCACTAGGTGATAGGACGCAGGGTCGCGTGTCTATAACAGTAGGGTGTAAGCTCCAACAATTCAATCACTTTCGAATCTTCATTCTACCCCTCAAGTGCCTTCGCTCCGGTCCCGCCGTCTGCGACGTCCCTCCCTCCGCTTCGTCCGAGCTTCGTGTCCAAGATCCATACCTTCCATCAGGTTATGAGCCCAAGCACCATGTCCTCTGCCCAAGACGCCTCGACCAAGGTCTCCATTGACAAGTTCAACGGGGACAACTACGCGACGTGGAACCGCTACATGCGTGGCGTGTTCCTGACCAAGTCGACGTGGCATGTCGTGAACCGCGAGACGACGCCGAGCTTCACGGACTCGCGGGCCAAGGACGACTACGTCAAGTCGAGCAACATCGCGTTCGGACTGATGTTGCTCCACATGGACGCGGACTACCACCATGTGGTCGACGACTGCGAGGAAGCGTGGGTTGCGTGGACGCGCCTGAAGACGCTGTACGGTGGTTCGCAGAAGGCTGGACGCATCTACCTGAAGCGCCAACTCTTCAGCATGGAGATGTCGGAAGGCGGCAACGTCTTGCATCATTGCAACGAGGTCCTCAACTATTGAGGGTTGCTGGTCTTGGGTACTGTGTACCAGTTGTACCCATTAACCGGTTAACCCGAACCGGTCCAATCCGAACCCACGTTGATTATGGTGATTACGGTAAGTTGTTTACGCCACCGATGATTAGACGAGTAGGATGATTGGATGAACACCGGTGAGTGATGGTTGATTAGATGCACTAGGTGATAGGACGCAGGGTCGCGTGTCTATAACAGTAGGGTGTAAGCTCCAACAATTCAATCACTTTCGAATCTTCATTCTACCCCTCAAGTGCCTTCGCTCCGGTCCCGCCGTCTGCGACGTCCCTCCCTCCGCTTCGTCCGAGCTTCGTGTCCAAGATCCATACCTTCCATCAGGTTATGAGCCCAAGCACCATGTCCTCTGCCCAAGACGCCTCGACCAAGGTCTCCATTGACAAGTTCAACGGGGACAACTACGCGACGTGGAACCGCTACATGCGTGGCGTGTTCCTGACCAAGTCGACGTGGCATGTCGTGAACCGCGAGACGACGCCGAGCTTCACGGACTCGCGGGCCAAGGACGACTACGTCAAGTCGAGCAACATCGCGTTCGGACTGATGTTGCTCCACATGGACGCGGACTACCACCATGTGGTCGACGACTGCGAGGAAGCGTGGGTTGCGTGGACGCGCCTGAAGACGCTGTACGGTGGTTCGCAGAAGGCTGGACGCATCTACCTGAAGCGCCAACTCTTCAGCATGGAGATGTCGGAAGGCGGCAACGTCTTGCATCATTGCAACGAGGTCCTCAACTATTGAGGGTTGCTGGTCTTGGGTACTGTGTACCAGTTGTACCCATTAACCGGTTAGCCCGAACCGGTCCAATCCGAACCCACGTTGATTATGGTGATTACGGTAAGTTGTTTACGCCACCGATGATTAGACGAGTAGGATGATTGGATGAACACCGGTGAGTGATGGTTGATTAGATGCACTAGGTGATAGGACGCAGGGTCGCGTGTCTATAACAGTAGGGTGTAAGCTCCAACAATTCAATCACTTTCGAATCTTCATTCTACCCCTCAAGTGCCTTCGCTCCGGTCCCGCCGTCTGCGACGTCCCTCCCTCCGCTTCGTCCGAGCTTCGTGTCCAAGATCCATACCTTCCATCAGGTTATGAGCCGAAGCACCATGTCCTCTGCCCAAGACGCCTCGACCAAGGTCTCCATTGACAAGTTCAACGGGGACAACTACGCGACGTGGAACCGCTACATGCGTGGCGTGTTCCTGACCCAGTCGACGTGGCATGTCGTGAACCGCGAGACGACGCCGAGCTTCACGGACTCGCGGGCCAAGGACGACTACGTCAAGTCGAGCAACATCGCGTTCGGACTGATGTTGCTCCACATGGACGCGGACTACCACCATGTGGTCGACGACTGCGAGGAAGCGTGGGTTGCGTGGACGCGCCTGAAGACGCTGTACGGTGGTTCGCAGAAGGCTGGACGCATCTACCTGAAGCGCCAACTCTTCAGCATGGAGATGTCGGAAGGCGGCAACGTCTTGCATCATTGCAACGAGGTCCTCAACATCAGCGCCAAGCTCAGCAGCATCGGCGCCAAGATGGGGGATGAGGACGTGGCGATCTGCCTGTTGCGCAGCCTCCCCAAGAGCTACGAGAACGTCGTGCTGAACTTGGAGATGAGCAGCGCTGAACTACGATCGCAAGACGTCGTGAAGGTGCTGACGAATGAGCACATCAAGAGACAAGGCGAGAAG